ATGGGATTTCTACGGAAAGGAGTAGCAGCCGATCGTACCGATCGGCACGAGAACCTGGCTCTCACGGAACGAGGCTTACGAACTCTTTTCCTCATCTCTTTAGCTCGTGCAGGTTTCGGCGCGAATTTCTCCAACATCGGCCTCGTGCACGAGGCTCTATCTAAGCTTCCAGCTTCCTTCTCCGCAAGAGTGTAGGGGACGCTTCTTCCAGCTTCCCTCTCCAAGAGAGCGGAGAGGGAAGCCGGGAGCTTCTTGTCGAATAACATGGCCGTGATCGAAGCCTATGCCAAGGTCGTCGTGTTTCTTCCATCCGATCGCGATCGTGGCAATCGCATACCCTTTTTCTTTGGGTTCGGTCTTCGGCCGAAGCCGAACTCGGAGACCGCTACTGCATAAATGGGTCGAGCAGCCCACAGGTTAATGTGCTTCTTCTGTTTCCAATCGTCAGCTGCGCGTTGATGGTTGAATCCATGGACACGGAAAAGAAAAGTTCCGTGGGGTAGTCTCCGGTTTAGCTTTTATACATGGATAATTTAAATATATGATGAATATAATTTTCATCATTTCTCTCGCTCTAGAAGCAGTTTTACGTTTTTTTTTTCGCACCCCTAACATGTGTTCAACGATTTGTAAAACTAACAGTTGTCTTCGATCGGTCCTGGATGCATCGGCGAGTGCAGACACGAAACCGTGATTCCGTAGGCCGTTAGCCGTAAGTGAAATCTTTTCTCGAGTGAGGCCCGATCGCTCGTGAGGGTCGAGCACTATCGGTAGCCGTACGGTATCGCTTCCATCTCGATGGAATTGAGATAAACGCGTGCGGACGCAGGGATGATATCGTTGCTGGACGAGGAGTGCTTGCGACCTGGGGATCGAACGGACACGACCTTCCTCAACAAAATCAACACCGTGTTGGGATCTCACGCCCATTTCAAGCGGGCCAAGACCAACGTCGGCAAAAGGAGCAGCATCAACTCTCTGGACGTGAGTACTTCTCCCTATCTCGGCTCAAAATCATATTCTCGAGAGATGGCTCCGCGGAATGGGTTCACTTTTGCTTTTTCGCAAGTGTAAGTGTTTTCCAGCGACGAACATGTAGGTAATGATCGAATCACGATAGAAACGAAATGTCATTCATTTAGGATTTGCAAGGTTTTTTTGGCGCCCGTAAACGTGGTCTCCCGTACTAGCAAAATGGGTCACTTGCGCCCGTAAAGAGAGATACGAATGGCTCTGTTCGCACTCGTTACGAATAAGCTTGGCAAAATGGTATCGGGAGAATAACGATGTCCCATGTCGTCGACCTTGCAGGAGTTCTGCCTGGTGCATTACGCGGGTGACGTCACTTATAAAGTCCGCTGCTTCCTCAACAAGAACAACGACCTGCTCTTCCGGGACCTGAAGGAGGCGATGAGCGAATCCTCGAACGAGGTCGTCCAGGCCTGCTTCCCCAAGGAGGAGATCCTTGCCAAGAAGAGACCTCCCACGGTGGCCACCCAGTTCAAGGACAGTCTCCAGAGCCTCACCAAGACCCTCATCCGCGAGGAGCCTTCCTACATCAGGTGCATCAAGCCCAACGACCTCAAGCAGCCCGGTGAGCCGACTACGCCTGCTGATGCTCTGTCATCGTGGGAACAGAAGCTATTTTCGCCCGGAGAAGTTAAACCACAATTGTAGGAATCGGGAAAGGAAATTGCAGGTCGTGTCAACCACGTTTAGACCCGAAACTACAGTTCTGAGTCCGATCGACCCTGATGCAAAAATGTAGTCACTTGTATAGGCTGCACCGTGAACTCGAAAAGTCTGATACTCGGTGTATTTTCATGAAGACAGATGTGAGAATGATGTGAAGATGATGTGATAGTAATTAGGCAAAGCATTTTGAAGAGATTCTTTGGAATTAATCGATGAAACAAAGAGCTAAACAGATCACCATCCGGGCTCTGGTAGTAACAGGGTAACAGTAAATGCTCAGTTCTTCTATTCATGAGGCTATCGAAAAAATATATATTATTCATTGGGACTGAGACTTGAGTTTCGAGAAAAAATGCCTCTCGACATGAAAATGCATATTACTGGGAGTTCCAATTCTCGGATTGAATGTTCACTCGGTGTATCGAAAGTCTTGTCGGTTACATTTTCCTTCTGCAATCTAAAGCGACACGAACGAAAACCCAATTGGGAATGCAACAAGGATTCCTTGCTAGTTTGTGGTTCGCCGTCTGATAGAAATGTGTGCTGCTATCGATTAAAAAAGGCAGACATTAACGAAAATCCCCTTTCCAAAGACTGTCGAATCGCGTGACGTAGCAAGAAATATTAATAAATCTCTCTTAAATTTAAGCCGACATAGAAAGCCAAATTGTTTTATTGGGTTCGTTCATGGAATATTTTATATTATTTAATGCCGTGAACGGCATTTTTTCCAGTAACGCTACATAGTCGATGCTAAGTTGACATGGGTAGCACAAATAATCCTATTTGGCATGGTCTCAACGTTCCTCGAGAACATGATGTGGAGTGAAGAGCTTGTCCGAGGTGCTATGCCCTTCCTGAAATCCAGAATATTTCTCTTGGGTGGCTTCTTCCACGTATTCTCCGAGTCACTTTTCTTGCACCTTCGCATACCTCGTAGAACTTAGCCCGTATGCCGATGAGAATGAATACACGGTAAATGGTGGGCTCCATCGAGTCCCCCTACTTGAGGAGAGGAAGCACCACAGAGCACCGCATCGTTCGGCCAATTTATTGGTGCCCTTCGATTTCCCATCATGTTTGGCATGCCCTTTGCAGCCACGAGTACCCATCGATGCCCATTGCTTTCAATGCCTCTGCCTGGATTTCATCCACACCAGGATCGTACATTTCACATTTAAAAGTTCGAGATAAATATAGTGAAGGTAAATTAAACGTACGAGAACAAATTTAGTCCTAAATCTTACGAAAATGTAAATGAGAATCGGTCCCGCGTTGAAGGCACTGAAAAAAAATATAAATCAGGTAGAATGGCTGCAAAGCCGGCGATCCCTTGCCCCTGGTATTACCGCCGAGATTACGTTGCAGGGCAATTCAACGAGAACGTGGTGAGGCACCAAGTGAAGTACTTGGGACTGGTGGAGAACCTGCGAGTGAGGCGGGCCGGCTTCGCTTACCGCCGGCTCTACGAGGCCTTCCTCCATCGATACAAGAGCCTGTGCCCGGACACCTGGCCGACCTACCGTGGCAACCCTTGCTCCGGAGTGGAACGACTGGTCAAGTTCCTCGGATATAAGAACGATGAATACCGATTGGGGGAGTGAGTGCATTCTACAAATCGAAAGACGGTGTTGTTCAAACCTTGTAGCCCTCTTTCGGCTCTTTAAGCATTTTTTCGTTCTCGAAAGAGAGTCGATCGATGTAACAGCAACCACAATACTGCATTTGCTACTATGACCGAAGCCGAAGAAAAAAGCATAAAAGAGACAGAAAGAGGACAATCATTTTGGATGAAGGTGTACCTTATTGCTTAGGCTGCTTGTCCTATTTCTTTTTGGTTATTTTTTCTAAAACTTTATTTCAAATGACGTGCCTTCTTTCAGGTAACTATGCAGTTGTTTCAAAGTAGTGCAAAAAAACTAAGTAAAACAGATACCACGAGAGCAACAAATTGGCAGACTTCTTTTTTTTTTGTTTCCCTTCAATCCCCAGGAAAAGAACCTGCAGACATGAATGGATGCAATGAGTGACTGGCAGGCCAGAAAGACTTAAGCTGTGTAAATTCCTTTAGAAATGTGAATTGGGACTTGCCTAATAAGTAACTGGAAGTCACGTTTTTTCGAGAAGTTGGGCAACGCTGCCGATATCGTCCCTAATCACGTTTCTCCAGAACGTGAGAATATCTATTACCCTTCCAGGACGAAGATCTTCATCCGGCTTCCGCAGACCCTATTCGCCACCGAGGACGCCTACCAGCGCCGGAAGCACGAGCTGGCCACCCTCATCCAGAAGGTGTTCAAGGGCTACCGCCAGAAGAAGGAGTTCAAGCGGCAGAAGCAGGCTGCCGTCGTCGTCCAAGCCTACATGAGGCGACACCTGGCGAAGAAGCGAGTCGCCAGGAGGAAGCATGCCGCCCTCGTCATTCGCCAGTGAGCACTTCCCTGCAATTCCCTCTTTCTGCCATGTTCACTCGTTGTAGGATCTATTAATCGTGTTTGTGCCCGGTAAGAGCGAACGATGCTCGATCGTCTAACTGCTTTTTAAATGTTTTAGTTCTTCGAGGGTCACGTTTTCGACCGAGTTTTGCATTCTTCGGGCGAAACAGGAGATACACGTCACGAGTGGATGCGACCACTTTCAGACACTTTTCCCTTTTTTTGCTTGATATTTTCGAGATCATAATGGCTGGCTTTGCAGCCGTGCATTTCTAAGACTTCTGTCGAAAAATCTTACCTTTTGCAGTTAGTAACCGAAGCGTATTTCTGTTAGAAACAGAGCAAATTTGTCTCCCATCGGCCGAAAAACTGTGTTGCCGAAAACGAGGGAACGACATCGAAATCCAATCGCATGTTGGTCTGTTTCCTGTTTCTAGGTTCATCCAGGACTTCATCCGGCGCAACGACGCGAGCGAAAGTAAGTTTGCGGGCATGGCGAGGGCCGCCTACCTCCGCCGATTGGCTGCCAATCTGCCCCGCAAACTCTTGGACAAGAAATGGCCCAAGCCACCCAAAATCTGCGTCTCCGTACGTCCCAATCACCGGCGCGTCTTTCGGCGCTTTCGGTAATCGGGCCGCATGTCTGAATTCCTTCGCGTTTCTTGCAGGCGTCGGAGGAGATACGACGACTGTACCGACGCCAGTTGGCCCGTCAGTATGCGAAAAAGCTGACTCCCGAGAGAAAACTCCTGTTCCAGAAGAAAGTCTTGGCAGAGAAGCTCTTCAAAGGTATAGTTACAGACGTCATTTGTCAAAATTCGCTTGAAATTCTTGCCGCCCCACTCCAATTTCTGTCACTCGTTCGTGGCCCTCACATCGAACGTGCAATGATCTTTGGAACGGTTAAGCATGTTTTCGTGCCGATCGGCAACGGCCGCATCTGCCGTCCGTCACAAGTGGTGATACTGCATTTTTGAAGGAGGAAGTTGCTTTCAAGTTCGAATCGAGTTCATGCCCAGCGCGAGGAGGTTAAAAACTTGAGAATTAATGTTGGCGATACCGTGTGATCGTGTAGGAAGCAGGCTGGATACCATTCCATCGGGCCCACCAGCGAACCAGTACGAGCTAAGTCTCTTTTTCAAAATAACATTCCAGGCAGATGCGTGCAATCGTCGAGCGGGCTCTATAGAGGATTCCATGTCGATTTTTTGGTATTACTATGGTTGTATGTCGATTTTTCTCCCAAACGTTCCAAGGCCTTCATGTTAAGCTATCGGCTCATGAATCGAATAGGACTTACGGGAGGAGTCGACTCAGCAATTCTATCCTTAGCGGAACTCGGACCTCCTCTGGTAGCGCGGAGGAAATTCCCACCTGAATCTCTGGTCTATATCTCCCGATAAATTTCGAGGAGAGGGCACCCATCGAGGCGTCATTTCATATCGGTACACTTAAGAGAAGGCTGCCCCGGCTCTATTTCACCGATCTCAAAACAAACTCTCTACCATCCGTAAACGACGAATAGCTTTCGAGGGACGTGTGATGTTAGGCGAGAAGTGAAGTTTTGTAGCGGGAAATAAGGGGCCATGGTGTTGGGAAATCGCGATCGTGAGGAATTCGTGGCAAACCTCTTCACTCTATCGTGGAGATGTGCGTTAAGTACTTTTCCACAAAAGGGTTCTCACAGGACGATGATGCCTTGGCGTTTCTCGAATGGATGACCCGTATCCAAAGGGACGGTCTCGAGCATCCTCATTTACGATGGAAAGAAAGAGAAGCGAAGCGAGGCATGCATTTGAGACAGAAAACCTCACTCGAGACCGATTCGTAGCACGAAGCTTCAGCCTAAAGTGGTTCGTTTAATGACTGCAATCTATCTCAAGAAAAATGACTGCAACTGTCAAAAATACGTGGACAAAGTCCTGGCAAGATTTCGGACGAGCGAGTGTAATTACGTCCATTATACAGTAGTGTAATATGGGGCGCAAAGTCACGAGAATCGACGCGAGAAATGGACGCGAGGTCTAAAAGGGTAAAAATAGACCTCTACGATACTAGTGACTGCACATGGCCCGCGTTGGCTGTGGGAGTGAGCCGTGTTGCCCCCGAACGGAAAAGGTTCACCACCACCGATTTAGAGGACATTCGATCGATATTGCTTCGATGCTGACTGGAATTCAGTAAAGGAATCGTCGATTCTGCCTCGAAAGAAAGTATAGAGTTTGACATTGAAACATTCATTTAACATGGAGAACATGGTTTCGGGATCGATTCGAAGTCCTCGTGCAACTATGGTACATGGTATCTAATCGCGACGGGAAAAGGGGAGTGGGGTCTGTGCAAACCACCCACTCCTTCCTCCTGGTCCGCCTCCGATTGCCATGCAAAACTCTGGATGATGAAGGAATCAGAATGACTTTTAGGGAAGAAGTCGAGCTACAAGGGGAGCATCGGTAAGCCGTTCGTGGGGAACGGTTGGACTCCACCCTCGACGAGAAGCGAAAGGGGATCTTCGAAGCCGGGATTCGACGCGATCCGGAGAAGACCAGTCAGTTCCTTTCTTCTTTGGGGTCGTTCAAAAGGATCCAAGTATCGAAGCACAGCCAGAAGTAAATACGAGGTTTAGCAAGTGTCAGAGCAAACTCTATCGTACGAGATGCGGTTAGGTCTGCTCTCTCATCGAATAGGAACCTCACAACCCTTTGCAGCAATCGAGGAAAGAGAGGGGTACGGGGGAGAAAAAGCCTATGGTTTTTTCTTTTCCATAAAATATACGTTCCAGACGTATTGCCGTGCGTTTATTTTAGTAAAGCGAATCACTGCTGCCTTCGAAGTTAATGGTCCTGGTTCCTTTTAGATTTCCTTGTTTCTTTGGATTTCGGGACAAGTCCCCTCCCTTTCCCTAAAAAAAAACCCTGCCGTTAAACGATGAGGCTCGTGCAGTGCAGAGGGGAATTTGATCATGAGGTCAGATGAGCATGCCGAAATAGGAGATCGTCTAACGATGTCCGTCCCGTTCCGTTGGCCGTCTCCTACAGTACTGCACCAGGGTGACGAAGTACAACCGGCGCGGTCACAAGCCTCAGAACTGGATCCTGATCCTCACGTCGGGGACCCTCTACCTCTTGGACGAGATGTGGAAGTTGAAGCACTCCATCCCGCTGTCCGCCCTCAAGACCGTGACCGTCACGAACCTCGCCGACAACTTCGTCCTCCTCCGCATTCCCCAGGAACTCAAGAGGGAAAAGGTACGAGATGGAAAATTGGAGCCGAACGCAAGTTTGCGTTTTCTCATTCGCCGTACGGCTAGGAAGGGAAAAGTTATCTGGGGCCACCGGTTCGGCTCTCGTTTTCGCTATGGAGTGAACGAGAATATTCATACTAGGGCCGTGCGATGTTCCATGATGACGAACGTCTACGATACCGTAGGGTATCCGTTCCGAAATCGAGAAACGTGCTATATACTGTAATAGAAGTAGTGAAAATACGGACGAAAATTGAGGAGTTCTCTGGAAAAGGGGCGTATGTACCCGTACGCCCTTTTTCCGTATCCGTGTCCATGTGCTGCTTAAGGTGACTAGTCATAGGATAGGGTGGTCAGCTTGTAGTTAACATGCGTATTTAGCAAAGGAGAAGCAAATTTTCCTGTGCTCTCACTAAATAGCAGGCCAACTGCTTGGCAATTTCAATATGGCTGCCTCCAAGAATATTCCATTATCACTTGCATGCTGAACGATTTTGGTGGAATTATTTTGTCTTTTTAAACCGAAAGCGAAAATGAGGAAGAAACCAGACATGAAGACAGGGAAAGAAAGAGGTGAAGTCATTGAAGCCTCTGGAAGGATGCGAGAAGTTGGAGATATCCATGAAATAGTTGAAGATTCAGATGATGAATACGTTATTAATGTATCACCGCTGAGTAATTTGTGAATGAAACGTGTCCTGACTATTCACATTTTCATTGCTATTTTTCAAGGAAGAGCTTATTTGAAATCTGTAGATGCACTTATTGATTAATTATTTTTAACTAGAAAGAAGTGGCGAAAGACTTGTAGGAAAAAGTTTGAGCAGTGCGGATATGGAAAAAGGGCGTATGTGCATAAACACTTTCTGCCTGCATCCCAGCAATGTGTGATGAAGAAATTCATTAAAACCCCAAGTTCAACTGGGAAAAGGTCTAAGATACCATTTTACTAATAATTAGGTTTTAACCAGCTTCAGATTAGCCAAAGGAAGTTTTTATCGTTTATATCGTTTATCCCGAATTGCATCTTTTGCGCATACGCCCTTTTTCTAGAGAACTCCTCGATTGAAAGTATTGAACGTTATCGCGAGGGGAATCTAAAGAACGGCATGGAGACTGATTCCGTCATCAGTTCTCTACCCGTCGACACGCACAAACACAAAAAACGACACGATCGCACTCTGCGCCACTTCACGGTGAAGGCTGGGTTCACGCCCCCTTCGTTTATTCTTTCACTAAAAGTAAGGGGTGGTTCTCCTTTTTTTTTTCTCCCGCTTCCCCCCTCCCCCCTCCCCCCTCCCCCCTCCCCCCTCCCGTCCAGTCGATATTAACGTATTATCGGGATACTTCCGATTCATTATCGCACTGCCCTAACGTCATATATTATCTTCTTATTATGATCCCCAGTTGATGTTTTTTCTCAGTATTTCCCATTTGTTGCCACTTAATTGGCAGTTACGAGCGTGATTGGGTTTCTAACCGTTATTCATTTTAAAATGCATATTACTTTCTATAATTGCTTACGCAGTCGTCACGCATACTTTCGCATTCGTTTTGCATGAGAGAATCCCTCACGAATGGAGCATTCCGCGTCGACGAACTCAAACGGATTCATTCGTGTGCTCTCTTCTCGCGTGCATTTTAGGGTGATGTGATCCTCAACGTTCCCTTCCTCATCGAGTTCATCGTGGAACTCGTCCACGAGTCGCGGAACTCGGAGATGCTCAACATCGAGACTGCCAACAGGTACGATTTGTCTATTCGTCGGTCCTGCTCGTTTGCCGGGCGATCGAGAGAAGAGCGTGCGAGGATTTTCTGCCGCTGGAACGTGCCAGCAGCATGAAATCTTGCCTCTTCGATTTCATTTATAGTCATACCGATGCATTGGCCATATCACATTCATTTGGTTTTTTTTTGTTATTTAAATATGTGCGATGTTTCTATCGCTGCGAACATTAACGTACTATTACTATTGCATATACATGTTCGGCGTCGATCTCATTGGTCAGTGATTGATATTCTGTACAGGATGGCATAAAATGTTCTTCAAAAAGTAATACAATAGACGTTCCTCTGAAATTAAAGATGACACAATGATAGGACGAGCGTTGAATATTGTCGTTTTCATGTTCACACGTAACAATGGACAGAGATTAGGCATCGAGTTGATGGCCAGACCTCTTAAACACGCATTATGAGACGATGTCAAACTCGCTACACTTGTTGATCTTTGTTGTTGATGTTTGTTCAAATTGTCTCCCATTGTCGTCGATGGTGTCTATATAGTGATCGAAAATCAATTGACATACATATTTACGCAATTAGGAGAAAAATGTTTAGAAATTTGCGACACAATTAGGCAAACCCAACGGCGTCATTTCACGCTTAATCTTAAATGACATGTCTTTGAAATAATATTTGCAAAGAATATTTGTGTCACCCTGTGCTCGTTGTTCGCACAAAATATAGCAATTTGGCTCTGCTCAGAGTGGAACGATTCACGAGGAATTTATGCGGAGGTTTCTTCATTACACCGTTAACGAAAGTGTCGATATTGTAGCATCCAGCACTACATGGCGGACGGGAAGCCTGTCGGGAAGATCGTGTTCAACAATGGAGCCAACAACGCCATCGAGAAGGGGAAGGATCGCACTCTCCTCGTCGTGAGTTCTCCCTTCTCGCTCCCCCTTCTCATTCCTTCGCTGGCGCTTCTTTCAGACGTGGAGGTTTTTCGTTCTTTGCTTCCGCAGACGGTGAGCGATGGCTAGGTTCCACGACGATCAGGACTTTGAGGGTCATACCGATCGCTGTGATATATACGCTAGCCGATTTCGAGATGAAACTTCTTATACCGCTCGACAGTGATTCCCAGATTTCACCTTTCAATATCATACAGAGAGTCTATGCTCCACGGTGATGAGCTGGTGAGACTCTTACTAAAATTCCCCTGTTCTTGTTATTCAACAGTTGCAGATCGTTGCGATATTATACTGCTGAATATCACGAGCCGTCCACGTGTTTTAAATTTCTATAATCGTTCAGGAAGTTTTGCGATTGTGATTACAATCGACTTTGAGTGCTGCTTATGTTGGGAATTGGGGCTGATCTCACGTTAGGGATTTGCGTGCGATCATATATCGTTACTTGTCTGTGCCTTACCCTTAATCCGATATTGGTGTCTATCAGTTGTGATTTTGCAGATGCTTTTCATTAATGGCAATATATAGAATAAATTTCATTGAATGATCAGCTCCTGTGTATTCGGTTATATCATATCCAAATGATGCGTTTGGGAACGATTTGGAGATTTGAAGAACACTTTCGGTCCAGAGGGTATGTGACTGAAGTTTTTTGAGGTCTACAAAAAAATTCATAACCTCGGAATGAAAAATGTTAGAGACTCGCTCTTTATTGGAAATAGAAGTATAATTTCCTTATTTTACTGTGAAAAGTTGCTTTAAATTGTGAAAATTTTCAAAGGACCTACAATTACATCAACCATCATCCGATGGTAGTGAAGGTCTAGACTTACATATACGTCCAGCGAATCGAAAATGTAAAGGGCCCTTCAATGAGAAGGCATCGAACTCGGCATTGAGGCATTCTCTCAAATTCCCATTCCAGTTGGTTTATTGAGAAATAAATCCCAAGAATCCGAATAACTTGACTTCGAGAATTGTGATTTCTCGTTAATCTTGACTGCAACGCAATCACAGTGATGCGGAAGGCCACGTTATCTCAAGTCCTACCATGTTACAGGCGCTTCTGTTGAGGGCGACCGAGAAGAACCGAAACCAGCATGATGAGTTCGGCTAGGGTATTCCATACTGGTTCATTCGTCTCCGTGGATAATCAGTACAGCGATAGTCACTGTGCTATCAGGGTGACTTGATTAGTTGGCATCTGGGGCCGGGCAATTCGAAGTCTCTAGGTGCGTCAGACCCCGGTCCATCGGCCTGATTGCTATCAGTCAAAGCATATTTCCGGCACGATACCCTAAAGACAGACCAGGAGCGGAATCGAACAGCAAATGACCTTGGCAACGGACTCTGAACATCGAGACCAGAAATGTGCTAACACTCGGTGGTAAGGGGGCAGAATTCGTGCAGGAAGCTTGTAGGAGACGACAAGATATACAGTAGTTGGCCTGGCCTCAACCAAAAGGAAAGGCACCGGTTCCAAAACATAACCATGGATGGACGATGGAGAGTGGAGTCGACTCAACCGTGTTTTCTGTGGCGGGAGTGGGGATACTCATTAGTCCCCATGTGGCCGACAGCGTCAATATAAGAATCCCAGTCAGAGAGCGTGTCACCCTGACTCGCCTGAGACTAGGGAAAGTCGGGGTCTTGGCAAAAACCCAACCATACGTGGCTCATGAGAATTTCGACGGGAAAGGAACGCCACGGTGGTCGGGAGGAATCCATTCGGTCCGAACGGCCCTATTCGAGCTGAGATTGGACGAAGTGATTGCCAGTAGCCATATGAAAAAGTCTTATGACTAACTAGAAAAGAACGTGACATACTACCCACTTCCAAAATGATTCGGGCAGGCTGATTTTCTTCGCCAACTCTTTTTTATTTTTCAATTCACATATAACTGGACAGTTGTAATGAAAAAATATGATCGACAACTTCGATATGTACTGCAGACCAAGGCAAATCGCGATATTATAGATTAAAAGTTATTAACTCGCAAAATAACGTCACATGTTCCAAAATGGTTCGAGAATCGATACGAATATTTCGTGACTTCACCTCTTGACGCGACTAGAGCATTCAATCGGTCAGGCATACTGGAGACGAGATGGGCGCATTGGTCTGAAGTGATGGTGCCCCAAAATTCCTGCAGGGTTTCCCGTAATCCCTCTTTGGTTCTCTGTCGTCGCTTTCTGATGCCAGAATTCAAAATTGCTCGATCGGCGACATATCTGGACTAGTGACTGGCCTTGGTAGCACCTCCATCTATTGATTTTCGAACCATTGGTGTGTTATCTTGCTGGTATGATATCAGGGTTGAGTTCTTCCACCGATGGAATCATGGCATTCTCCCAGATTTCGATGCATTTCTTGCTGTCAACTGTTCCATCTATGAACAGCAGCTGACCGACTCCTTTTTTTGCTCGTGCATCCCTACATTATCATGCTGGCAGGGAATGTAACCTTTGGGATGAAAAGCCTCGTCCTCCATAAGGGAACTCTCTTGGGGTGGTCTCCGAGGCAGATGATGAACCTGGAATCGTCGCTCCATACCATTTTCTTGCAAACTGCCAATGGCCATTTCTTGGACTCTTTGGCCCATTCGAATCCTTTCTTCTTCAGGATTGACTTTTTTCTTGGCTAATTTCATTTTTTGCCGAAATGGAGCATCGCAAATAGCAAAAAAGCCACTTTCGTCATCTACGAATCAATGGGGGACATGCACCGAATCCGTTTAAGCTAAACCAATCTGATCTCACAATGGTTCCTAATGGGAATCAGTTTAGCCGAGATAAACCTACTCCCATAGACGCCTATTATGAAAATGAATAGATTTGAAGTTAAACGGATTTGGTGCATGTCACCCAATATCTTTCCTATGGTTGATCTCTCTCCTCTGAAAACCTCCAAGGAGTGGCTAGAGAATAAAAAAAAAAACGGAATGAAATTTACATCCTACAAAAACGAGATTCGGCGTTCTCTACAACCCCGGGGAGATGGAGCTTCAAATTTTCTGGAGCGATTCTGTGGTGAGAGAGGAAGAAGTATGCCATATCTCGTTCCTCTTGATGTTCTCAGAGAGAAATACGAGGAGGTTGAATTTTGCTGCAGGAAGGGGTTGAAAAAAGGTAATAGGTGCCACCGCGCCTATTCATTGCGTTGTAGGTAATGTTGCGATGCACTCACCCCTTCACACCACTGAAAAAGTGTCTGAATATCAGACATTCTTACCGACAGTTTCTCGGATAAATTTGAAGAAAATTGCAGCTCAATTGTACAACCTAAGGAGTAGAGAACTTGCACATCTAATGCAACGCCCCTGATGGTGACTCGTCTTTTCACATTCACCTCGCCGATGAGACGATTCAAGAAGAACTGATGTCGCGATTAGATTCACTACTGGCCTACACGATTTCGCTCCGTCATATTTCACAGGGGTGCTGACAATGAGAATGCATATTTGGAATTCCTGAATGCATTCCAGGGCAATGCATCTTTCGAATTCCTTGCGATGGATCGTTGATGAACTATGTCAATCATGCGACGAATGTAATCTGCCAGGCCATGTTGTCAAGTAGATCTGCTGATCGAGAGGATTTGTTTTTCGATTCCGTTATATGCCCCCCCCCCCCCCCCTCTCCCCCAGAAAAAAAGGACAAAGTCGGAAATGGTCTCCTCACACTCTTTTTTTGCCATCTTTGCGAGAGAAAGGGAATTGTCAAGTAAGCGAGCCTGAAGACTGGCACGTTTCATGCCAGAGCCTCTCGTCACACAAGTCCCAACCGTTAATGACTGAATGACTGGAGGAAGGAAATATTAAATTTGGCGCACGAGTTGTTGTGGCACTTAATTCTGAAAATCCAACTTTGAAGGTAAATGCCATGGGGAAACCATTTTTTCAATGTGGGTCGCGATCTCCAAATTTCTTACAGATATACAGTACATCAGCCACCCCTCCACGCCTTTGTTTAGAAATAATCAGAATTGCAAAGTAAGCGAGACTGGCACTTTTCCTGTTAGTATCTCACATTGCAGATGTCCTGATCCTTATTTTGTACCCATTGCCACAGGCCGTCGAGTAATTTCGTCAGAGCTCCCGCTCCAAATTTCGCTAATAAATGCCTGGGTGATAGTTTGAGGTTCAATTTGTAACTTTCAGAAGTCCACGAGTACCAAGACATGCATGCATAGAATGATATTAGGAAGCTTCGTCCTGTACACTTGTGAATTCGCATACTTAACTTCAGCATTTAATAATCCCCGAGTCTTATATTGCAATCAAAGCACCATGATTCCACGCTTTCCAAGTCTCTGTTTTTAAATTGCACATTAAAAGGAGGAAAGACGAGGAAGAAACTCTTTTTCTAAATCAGGAAGGCAGGTACTTCATGGCATCAGTAGGGTGCAGGGAACGGGGGTACCATCTAATGGGGACTCTTGGTACTGCATCTAGAGGAGTGCCAGCTACATTATGGGAAGAGAGCTGGTGGTCCTCCACCTACAATAGGTAGCGGGCCAGCAACTGCATGTCCCACTTGCCGTCACATTCCTGCCCTCGGCAGAAATCCGCCAGTGTAGTGCCTGGGCCACTTATGGCCGACTTCTTTTGTGCTACTTCGGAAGTAATGTTGAAACCATGTTAAAGAAATTGACGTATTCACATCGAATCAATATGGTATTTCAATGTTGTTTCAACATTCAATATGTGGACACGAAACATTGTTTCAATGATATAGACGGGGGAAAACCACAAAACTGCTTTCTTTCTTACGACCGGGATCCACATGGATACGGTGAATGAACGAATGAGAGTAAGAGAAACGGAAGCACAGGGACATTCACAACTGGTCAGTATATTAAAAAAAAAAGAGGGGGAAGTAAATCCAACATTTCGGAAAACATGTTTTCCAACTCTTCCAACCCCTTTCAACTAATATTTTTGGATAGTTGGAAATGCATAGCTTTCATGGGGCCGAGAGGAAAGATACGTGATTTGATTTGGGGGCCTCTGCCTCATCTGGAAGTTGAGAAATAAACGTAAAAATCTCGGCGCCTTTTTTATGCGCCACCCGGTATATTAGATGTGTGCTGTTTGGGAAAATTTTCAGCTTGTTTCCATTATTTGCTTAATGAAATCATCCTCTATATGGGAGGGGGTGTCCAGAATCTCAGGATATTATCAATGGCAACGCCACTGTGTGCATGTAAGAAAAAAGAATCGATGATGGTGCTTTTCAACGATGTATGGAGTGGATGTCTAGAGTGACATCCCTGTTTGCTTTGCATGGCCGCCGCCACTCATTCATGTCCTCTTCCCCTGTACCACCTGTGCTGCGATCGTGGATGTTTTCGCGAAGAGTTCACCAACCCCTTCCATGCAAATCATTCTTTCCTGTAGGCCTATTGAAGCCAGCGCAATTAAAGCTTCCTCCTATCTAATGCGAAAAGTTAACTGGTTAAACCGACCGGTCATAACTTGTGCTTCTCGCGATCGCGGGATGATCTACACACACTTGAGTAGTGATTCAGATATTGCAGACTTCGGACCTTTGCCCACCGTACCCCTCCCCTCCGCCGATAACGGCTAATACAGCCTCTTGGCCCCACCTGGCTAAGAATGTGGACGACCGAGGTATCGTGGCGTTGCCATCCCTAACTCCCCATCTCTCCACCTAGCATTGTCTTATCCCACATTGACCTCCTCATCAGTAGAATCAAAGCTATCAACACTAACTGCCATTGCATCGTATCTAATATCCTCCCTAGATATGATACTCACCACCAATTTGGCTGGCCAGTATTGAACACGAAGAGCGCTAGCGCCCTACTAGATGTGTGTGAACTCATCACTAAGTCTATAACGTCTGAAGCCTGGAAACGGGTGGCATGGGGAGGGGAGGCGGCTATTGCCTTAATACAGCCTCTTGGCCCCACCTGGCCAAGAATGTGGACGACCGAGGTATCGTGGCGTTGCCATCCCTAACGTTAGCGATGACACATGTTTTCCTATGGTAATTGATCGAAGGAGCGTTAAAGCTAGCCCATTCTATGGAAGGGATGGGTCAGTTGAGTTGGAAGTTATGCAATCATGGCCTCAGGCCACGAGCATAAGCATTTTAGAATTGCAATCTAGTGGCCAAATGTTTTGCATATATTTCCTCAAATTCTGCTACTTCGTTTTTTTTTTAGGCAAAATTATTTGATGCCTAATTGCTATTCATTGCGAAACATTTACTATCTTGTGTCTAAACTACTACCAACCATGTAGCAGTTATGAGACAACATTAAGTTGGACATTATGCTCTGTATTGGATTGAATTCAAACCCCCTTCCCCCCCCTTGGCTACTGATTGCAGGTGCTTACACCTTCTAATGGGTAGTTTTTTTTTATCCTTTGATGAAGCAGAGCCTCTGGAAGCAGTGTTTTCTCTGTTCTCTGCTATCTGGGATAGAGAAGTTCATTTTGAAAGCTGTATCTTCATAATGTAGCATTACTAAGTGTAAATTTGGAGTGTAGCTCATATGTTATGGTCATGGTTCCCAAACTGTGGGGGCACAACAGATCATGGGTTAATTTTATCATTTATTTATTCATTATGTGTGCAATTTAAAAAACTTTGTCTTTTTTGGATTTTTTCATTGCTGAGAAAGTCCATGTTCCTTCACAACCATGTGAAGGCACTCTAACAATGGTCCCATTTGTGGGCCCTGAATTCCTGTGGGCATAGTTGGTGCCTGTTCAGTTCTAACTGTAACATGGTCCTTGAACTGCTGCACTCCATTATCTTTTCTTTTTTTTTTCAATCATTGTATGAAGAAAACATCTGTGGGGCTCTATTTCCTGGTACTCTTTTCAGAAGGAAAGGGAGCACAATACTAAGCTAGGGTCACCAGGGGGGCAGAAGCAAAAACAGTTTGAGAACCGTTGTGTTATGGAATCAGGTGAGAGGATAGCACCATACTGTTGATACTTTTCATGAGTAAAAGAGGACCCAAGCACCTCCCCCAAATTTCCCTCAATATTTGTCCCCAAAATTGAAATCCCCAGCTATGCCTATTTTAAACTGTTAGATTGCTTCAATAAATACTTTTATATCTTGCTAAACTAATACTGATGTACATAAAACCTAGATTAGGGTTAAATGCTGACTGAAGGATAGACTGAGAGCTAGATCCATGCCCTCCTCTTGTTTTGTTTTGATATGCCATCAATAGTCAAGCATTATTATGTATCGAGCAGGGAGTTCAGAGAGAAAGAAGTGAGTACTAAAAGGTAAGACTTTAGGAAATCTTGATTCCTACCCTGCATTGCTAGTCTTTTTTAACCATTAAGTTTTCATCTATTGTCGCTGCAAACCCAGACCATTATCATCAAATGAGAAACATCTGATTCCTTCGTCTTTGCTTGCAGGTATGGGTACATTATTAGAGGAAGTAAGCAATTGCATTTGGCATGTGTTTAATTTCCTGGATGACAACAGAGATGGGAAGGTGATGAAGTCAAGACTTAAAGTAAGTTTATAAATGCATTCTGAATTCATGATGCATCTTGTGACTGCTTATTGATAATTCTTATTTTAATATTTTTTATGCTTATTTTGTTTTCTTGGTTTTCAGTCAAAGAATATATCTTTTTCAAAACCCATGAATGGGTAATGAATTCAGGTCTGGCATCACAAGCTTCTGAAAACATAAATAGCACAGATGTGATCAATGAATACAAATTTTTCAACATCATATGCCATCAGAAACAACAAACTGGAATTGAATAAAACCAAAATTGAACAAGGATTCCAAAAACATTTTAAAATTTTCTAGCTCCTATAGTTTGGGCTGTAGAGGGCAATCTATGTGCAACACCCGGTATATCTGTTTCAATTACATTGGGACATTCCAAGGAAGGCACACATGAGTTTTTAAGAATATTACAATCATTCCAAGCCAGAAAGCCTACATTTTTTTTTGCTATATCTAAGAGAGAGGCAATAGTCGAGTTGTGCCACCATGGAAGTTCTGAAGCCTGTATTCTCATCTCATTGAACACTGACTTCTGTCATGTGTGTGTTGTTAGGTGCTTACTGCAAATCTGGGCACAATCATGAGCAGTCACAACATTGAGAGGGGTCTCGATGATTTCCGGAGCACTCCAGATCTGAGCTTTCAGCACTACAAGTACTACCTATCCATGGAATTATTCTCAGGGCTTCCCGAGACTCTTGATCCTCCGTCTCGAAGGCAATATCAGGTATTATTTACTGTAGCTTCTGTACTGGTTTCCTTAAGTTAAGGACATTGGCAATTTATGCTATTTGCACTGCTACTGCTCTGCTGCTTCTCAAGCAACAGTTCCCATCCTATACAGGGGTTGCACTAGGTTTCTTGCCATAGGGGTTCCCCAGGATCCTCAGGTCTGATATGGAAGGGTTCCCCAAAAATTTAAGTCCAGCAATCCAGGTTTATTTGCTGACTTAACATAACCAAGCAGTATTATATTCAATCCAGCAGTCTTAGGCCTTTTGCTTGTGGATCCCAGGGGTCCTGGGACCCCCAGAATGCATGGGTAGGAGGCCAGGACAAGGAACTTAGTGCAATCCCTGCTATAGTTACTGTGGCATTCTGAATGTAAATGAAGCATATTCTTTTATGTCTACTGGGGTTTTTATCCATTTTTGCATATGTATTTGCTATACACAGTAGACTTGATTATGCCACTTTAAGAATTTGCCTGTCTGATGTACAGTAGTTTTGGATGACACTACCAATAGTGTTGCTTTGTTGGCACCCTATATAACACCCTCATGCATGTTCCAGGAGAGGAACCAAAATGACAGGTCACTTTTTCTGATCTGCTTTTAAATAATGAAAAAAAAATAAGTCCCTGGCAGCTTCCCCATTGGCTGGATGTTGATGAACTTTCACCAAGGGCGTAATTCCACAATTTCTGATATGGAACGCTGTAGGACCATCAGGACCAGGACAGCAAACTTTCCTGTGGCTTTGAATGAGAATTTATACTCTTAAAATCCACCACCTCAAGTTTTGTTATCGCTAAGCAGAAGCTCCTTTTGACTTTTATTACAGTCCAGGTTGGGACTGAAATGAATGGAAGCCAATGCCATTTATTATGAATTTGTTTTTATCCTTCCCATATGTGCCAATAGTGTTATGTCAATTTATTGCAAATATCCTAAGGTTTATGATTCCTGTTCTCATGAATAGGTAATGTAACCACATGAATCACAGTCCTTGGCTATCTGAGCATTCATGGCTTTGTTGGCTGTTTCCTTTTACCCAGGATCAAATAGAAGAACTGTGTTGGCTGATATGCAAGCAGAGTCTCCTGAAGAGGGATGTGGTCGTCTTCCCCAATGAAAGTGTCTACCATCTATTCCGCATCTTCTCCACTCTGGCAGAGGAGCTATCTGACAACCAAGTTGGGACCATGGTACAATCATCCTTCCTCCATAAGGAATGTGCAACTTGTTGTCAATAGATTGCTCTTTCTCTAAACCCCTTCATCCATGGTGTTCTTGTCAAGGATACTTGAGAAATTTAATGACTGCAGTTTTCCCTAATGGCAGAAGGGTATAGCAACAAGTCAAATGCATGAAGCCACATTTATTTCAAGGGGGGAGCTCCTAGTTCACAACTTGATGGTAGGGCTTGTAGATAGATATAGAGCCCATATGCATTTAGGAGACAATCTGCCCATGATGCACTGGACATGCATCACTTTGCATCTTTGGTGGCCTATATGTTGGACCAAAATATGCTAGGCTTTGCATATATGGGGCCTGATATGAAGCTGATGTTGCATTGAGTCATTTTCTATTGGCGCTCTCTGTATATTTGTTTTTGGGTAGATACAGACATACTTTGAAAGAGGCAAGAAGTGTAAAATATCCCCAGTGGTTTGGAAGTGGTTTTCTGAACATTGCCCTGTTGAAAATATGTTTTTAAATGCATGTATCTTGGCACTCTGAAAGCCCCATTCAAATTATTTTTGAAAGTTTGGGTAGTGGTCCTTACAACAGCCTTCAGGCGATGGTGTCTTGTACCCTTAATGTAAAAATGATGGAAACTTGAATGGAATTTTGTATCAAAGGCTTGATGGGCAGTGATTAAAGGGGAAATGTAATTTGTTGTCATGATACAGGAGTAACTGTCCCCACAGTGTGCTACTACTCACTTCATTCTTCTTTTTTTTCATGGGAACATAGCCCATGTGCTTCCCAAGTAGCTGCTCTACTGCATTGCACTAAGTGCTTTTTAGTGAAGTCACTCTTGCTATCATTTACCCTCAATTTAAAAGATCCTATGAGATTCTTCATGTCTTGTGGTAGTCTCTAAGATGAGGGAACATGATGGAAGAGGGTTTGGGTGGATGGGGAACAAATTCTGAGTTGGCCTTCCTTCAGGTTGAAGATTATCATCACATAGTTGCTCTACCCTTACCCTTTACCCTACTCTTGAAGCTTTTGCATTTACACTAGTCAGTGTTTCCTACAGGTGGCAATTCATGTAGAAGAAATGAGGCTCCTCTGTGAAGCATTTGTGATGACAGTTGGCAAGAATTTCAACATGGAGGAATTCCAGGAGGCAGCAAAAACTCTGGGGACAGAATATGTCATGTTTCACCCATTCTTGTCATTCATGGAGACCAAGTATGCATCAAGCATTGAAGTTGGGGGTCTTCAGGAGGGTGTGAGGGATCTGTTTGACACTTATTCCCAGGATGTCCTTCGAAAGGTCTTTCTCCTTGTTCATCAGTGAATAAATTTCAAAATTTTCCTGTGAGCATGATAGAGGAACTCATATCATGTTCTTTTATGTTTAACTAGGGCTACTTATGGAAGAAGGGAGAATTGTTCCCATCCTTTCGCTACTATTGGTTCGTTCTGCGGCCCTCAAGTCTCACCTACTTCACTAACATGGAGCAGAAGGATAAAAAGGGAGAGATTCCATTGGATAGCACCTGTCGAGTGGAATCTATAGCTGAACCCAAGTGCCATAAATTTCTTCTCAAGTGCCAAGACCGTAACTATGAGCTCAGTGCCTCTGACCACAAGTAAGTTTGGAGGTTTGAAATTTGAGGCATAGGGTGGGCAAATCACAAATAAAGTTGCAAATTTGTTTATGGCATTTCCTTAAAATTTATTAAATGAAATAGTTCACTTTACAAAGATCATTATTATGTAAATCATTAAGTAATTAAGTCAGTTATTATTTAAATGGGATATAAATGAAATTATGATTTGGCATTCCCACTTATCCTGAAGACCTTAACTTGCATTGCCCCAGTGCTGGAAGCACGTATTGAAAGGTTGGACATGTGGTTTGTTTGTGAAGGACAAAGCTGCAATGGCTGTCTTCATTGAGGCTGGCTTTTGAGAATGCAGAGAATCTGCATTCGTACCAATACCGGGAGGCAGGAAGGAGACGTCGCATGAGGGAAATAGCCGAACTGAAGGAGATGGAAGAAAGGGAGAGACGAGCCTCTCAGATGGACATCATGGAGAAGACCAAGGCCCAGCTCCTTGCTGAGAAAATGGTCTCATCTTATCATTCTTTCTTCACCCTTAAGAGCATTCCCATTTTTCATTTTTTTCCCCTTTTTCTTTATCGGGGGGAAAGAACAGGCAAGGGAAGCAGCGGAACAGGAAGCCCGAACCTTGGCTGCCCAGAAGGAAGAGGAACACAAGAAGATCAAAGAGCTAGAAGATCTGAAGTTGGATCTTGAGAAGCTGTTAGAAGAGGAGACTCAAGCCAGAAGGGATGAGGAGATTGTTCGCAATCTTCAAGCCAGGTAATGGTTGGGTGTATAGTTTCTCATCCCAGTACTGACCTAGAAGAGATTGAGATGTTGCCTCACAATGAGACAATGAAGAGTATGGCTATTGACTTGAATATGGGGGGAATAAGTTCTGCCTTTATAGTTGATGTTCATATAGTTTTGAATGATTGAAATTTCTTCAGAGCATCAGTGCATGAAACACCTTATTCCCATCAATCAGGTATTGGTGATGAAACTAGGTGCATTTGATTTTGGTGTTTATAGAGTGTTACGTGAGGAGTGGGACAAGCGGGAAGAATTGGAGAGGCTGCAGGAGGAGCAGAAGAGACTTCTAGTGGAAGAGAGGGAGAAAAGGATTCGTTTTGAAGAGAGACAGAGAGATAAGGAGACTCAGCTTAAAGGTCAGTCACTGGTGAATTCCTGTTTCTGCCATTGGGTCGAGGTCATTGACCCTGTGTGAATCACTCTCCCTCTTTTGCTTCCCAGATGCAGAGACAAAGCTCCGAGAGTTGGAGGACGATCGCCGGCGTCTGGATCGGGAGCTGAGGTCAGCCCGCATGAAGATTACTTCCTCTGAGCATTCCAAGGAGATCCTTGAGGCCAAGCTTCGTGTATGTCCCCCTTGAGTGCTCCATCCTGTCCAATTTTTAGCATGCAAAGACTTCATTGCTCTAATACTTTTGCTTTTCCTGTAAATACTATTACATTGGTCCTTCTGCAAATTTTTCTCTACCTGTACCATCAAGATACCTCAGTTTACAAGATCAACATGTGATTCAAAAGTCAACCCTTCTATGGTAAAATCCATTTCTGTCTCAAGGTTATTTTTAGCTATAGCTTATCCAATAATTGGAATAAAAGGTGGATAGATAAAGTGAAAGAGGTAAATTATGTCTAAAAGTCAACTACTTCTTGGGTTCTGTATGATTTGAGAAGTTTCTCATTAATGGCAATTTCAAGACAGTGGATCAATTGAACAAATGTCTCTCTCATTTGATAGGAGCTTGTCAAGACTCTGCTACATGTCCCCCTACATTTGTTCAGCTCTTTTTCTTAGCAGCTTCTGATTTTTTGGCTCGTGTATAGTCACTGCTTCATTGCTCCAATATTTCCATATGCTGATATTTGATAATCTTCAGTTAAGCCTATAAATTGACAGATCTTATAGAAGTTCATGTAATTTTTTTCCATTTCAAATGGTAAAAAACAAATTCAATAATGACTGCTTTTATTATATTTATCTTCTCCTCTTTTTCCTACCTGTCCATCTCCAAGGAAAAACTGAATGACAAGAGAATTCAATGTATGAAACAGTGAGAAGCATCTCTGTTACCTAACGTCCTCTGTAAATGATCCCTATGTTGTTTTTCAGTTCTCAGGCTGAAGAAGTAGACTGTTTTCTTGAAGGACTTCTTGCTAAGAAAATTACATAACTTGATTTATATATGTAAAGCAGTTCCCTAAACAGGAATGGAAATATGGCAATGGCAGTGAGAACAGACTCGATGCAATTTTTCAGGCACGAGGAAGCCCAGTGACACGCTCTGCATCCATGGTCCCTGTCAGGAATCGGGAGAAGAGATTCTCTAACGACACCCAGCACTCCAGTGATAGTGATGACATCGACGACGACGAGGGATTGCCTCTCCGCAGGGTTGAATAATCTCTGGAATGTCTCCTCTTCCTCCTAAAGTCTCAAGTGTCCTTTCCATAGCACATTCAAGTAGAAACAGTAAGAAGCTTGCACTTGGTATCTTCAGGAGCCGTGAATCTCGCATGTATAAGACCCCTACTTCAGGTATAAGGATGATGAGAAGTCCTTGAAACCTCTTTTGCTCTCATGAACACCCATCATTATGAGCAATTCCATTTTGGGAATTTTTGGTTTCAAAATTATCGAAGGAAAAATTAAGTTGTTTTGGACTATTCTTTCTGACAATGAACAGAATTCGAGTTTTCACTCTGGATATTGGAATAGAGATGTTTGATCTGGCTAGATCTTCTCACATTTCCTGCCATGTATCTTTCACTTAAGAGTCCAAATGAAAAAAGACTCATCCATGATCAGTAATGATGGTGAAGAGAGGAAGAGGAGATGTGTTCATTTAGCTTGTTTTTGAGTGCCATGCAGGGCATGGTTTCTTGTGTTTTATTTTCGTGATTCAGCATACCCCTTTGCCATAGCATGTGCCATTTTTATGTATTGTGAAACTTTTTTTTTTATAGCTTTCATGTGCCTTCTCTACCCCTCTAAGAAATGGTGCTGATTGCATGATGAGCGAATGCAATTGACTGGATCCTTCTTTTCACTGGAGAAAATGTTCTATACAAACGTAGACTTGGACGTTTCTTCAGAGGAGTTCTACCCTTTTCTACTTAATCACATTGAACCAACATAGGACTCCAAAGGGTATGGCAATAAGAACACCCATAACTTTGAGCCCATGCTTATCTGTTCTCATGTGAGATATTTTCACAGAAGGCTCTCTCACTCGTGAGACGTTCGTCTGCCGACATGTTTCCGGTGTACCTTTCGAGATTCGATTTTGATTTGTTTTGATTAAGCAAGGCTTTGAGTGATGGCTTGAAATAAGTCTGAAAGTGAAAATAGATAGAAGCTTCTGCCAATAAGGATGTGTAATAGCCTTCATGAAGTGACTACATGAAACATCTTGTTCATTCTTGCTGGAATTTTTTCTTTCTGGTATCAAAAAAGGGAGTTTGCTTCAACTTCCTTGAGATTTTTGCCATATTTACTAAGGAGGTAGTAGGTACAGTGTTTCTCAGTGAGTTTCGCACGTCTTGCAGAATGCTTGGCACTAGCAGCAAAATACTTCGCACCTCCCTCCAAATGGATCGCACGCGTTGCATAATGTTTCATACCCCCTGCCCTCCTCCACTCATCCAGTGCTGCTCAGAATGGCAAGACCACTAACAACCCTGATGGGAACTACAGCCGGGACCCTTGAAACAAAGGCTGCATCGCAAAGTCCCACGTGGATGGTACAGCATTCGTCAGTTTCGCGTTTGGTCGTTATGGCGTCCGTTTGAAAGAGGACCACTTCTGACTCATTATTTTAAATTTCAATAAGAATTCCTAAGTGTGGAACTCCTTTTCCATTTACTTACAGGTCTTTCCATGGAGTACTTCAGAGTAATCCGTGAATCGTTCGAATCCATCCATTCTAAAGTCCATCCACAAGCCATGCATTCCTCTCTCCAAGGCTTGTCCAATGGATGCGTCATTCAGAGAGGCACTCGCTCGTTGGGCGGGAGGGGGGGGGGGAGTACGAAACATTATGCAACGCTTGTGGATCATTTTGAAAGGAGTACGAAACAATTAGCCGCTCGTGCGTAACGTTATGCAGCAGGTACGAAAGTTCATGGGAAACACAGTTAAGTGAATAGGTTGCATCTGGACTGAGTATACATCCCCCACCTTCACCTCATTTTCAGTTCCTTTATTTATCTATTATATATGTAAATAATTTCTCCTGGACTTGCTTTGGCAAATTGAATTAGGCTTAAATCTCGAAAATCTGTTGGGAACATGTTGGTTGTCGCATGGAATATCTTTTCTGAAGACATCTTCAATAGGAAATATCAAGGGTCAAAGTTCGAGTCTTTTTTGCCATGCTGTTTTATCTTTCAGGTCTATGGAATCCCTTGCAATTCCATCGGGGAAAAAAAATTATTTTCTAATAATAGAATTGATATGTATTTAATATATAGAGTTTCTATAGGACATTTTCTCTCGGATGTGTGCATTGCTCAAATTGTGTGAGAAACACAGTGAAGCATTCCATGACCGTTGCTAGAATTATCGCAAATACTCATTTCTTGAAAATCTGATTATTCTCTCGTGCCTCTTATTTGCTCACTAACAAGTGTGTCTTCCTGGCAGCTTTTATTTTTTCCATTCCAAGGACCCATTCCGTGCATTTTTATATTATGGAATAAAGGCTAAACCAGGTGGATCCGACGTGATTGTTTTTTCTTGTTTCCTTGCATCGTTTTACGGGATCCGAAGACGTGCAGGATTTCGGGGCCGGGGGGGGGGGGGGGGGGGGGGGGGGG